CTCAATAAAAGATATTAAGTCTTAATATTTAAGATAGTCAGATGGTACACAGAATACACACCATATGATAAAAAATCACTCAAAAGGACATTGATTAGGATTAACACACATGTCTTAGAAGCATGCTGCGAAAAACTTGGATAGATAATGTAGTAAGCGACCCTAATGAAATAGGTGTGCATGTTTAGATAGTGGTCTCAATATATGGAACGCATTATTTATGAAAGCATTGGTCTCGTAATAATTCTGATAGAAATTGAAACCTCTATTTGCTGCGTTAATACATATAAGTAGGCGTATATGAAATAAAGTAACAGGCTTTTGTCTGTGTCGATATAATGTGTTACTATTAAAGTAATTTTAATTTCTTAATATAATATTAAAGTAACAAATTTACAAGCAAGATACATGTGTATTAATATTGCGGCCAATTAATGATTTAGGCTCAAATCTTACTAAGGTCTGGTCCCAAAAACGAATTAAAAATGTTTTAAAAAAGCGCCGAGCCGGTGAAAAAAGGATTCTGCTCCACAAATAGATTACTTGAAAATAAAATTAAAAAAGAGTTTGTTACACAAAATCTACAAAAAGCACATTGATATATCAAGAGTCAAGGCATTATAATGGAATTCAATGCGACAGACAAAATCGGTGTTAGCAGAATTTGAGTCTACAGAACTGAATTGGTCACAATTAGAAATATTATCTTTCAATAAAATAAGATATCGTAATTGTATTAAAATCTTAACATATATACTCAACTGGAGTGAATAAAGGAAAAAAGAAATATAAAATCTATATAGAGCTTTAACTTTATCTCTATATAGGACATATGCTTGTTCTATGCGCTATTTACGGTTATATTAAACTAACCTATATTCTCTTTATACTGTCTAGTTCTTTATTTAGTTCCTTATCTATAATTCCCTCATATGTTCTTTCCATAATCCCTTCCAAAACTTCTTGTTGTATAAAAATTTTTATATCAATATATTTGTAATACGATCATTGTAATCACTCGTTTCGATTTTATGGATTGTTGAGAAGAAACGGAATGTTTTTACCAAAATCAATAAAATTAAAAATATTAATTGTATCCTTTTTTCGAACCCTTGAGTTTTTTATCTGCTCGTATTAATTATAAAATTTAAGAAAAAATGAAAAAAAAAATATATTTGCTTTTTTTTTTAAATAATCAAATAAAATTTTAATGTGTTGAAAAATATATAAAATAATAAAATACAATTTTTATAATACTTTATTTTTTTTTAAATATATTACATCCATTACACAGTGTTGTGATCCGGTCGTAAATAAAAATTTTTTTGACTTTTAAATGAAATAACAAAAATTCAATAAAACGTTTATTGAACTTTTATGGTATATCTTTTTAAAATTTAAGCTTGGTTTTAAAAATTTACAGCTTTTTTGAATAATTGAAATATAAAAGAAAAATACACACTTTAAGTTCATGCAATAAGTCAAAAGTCGTTGTTTCAACAAATAAATTTTTACAGGTGTTGAAACAGCAACAATTAAACTCCATTTTTTTCTCTCTCGGGAAAAAAAAATTAACTTTTTTTTTAAATAGCAAAACTGTTTATTTTATTTGCTTAATTTAATTTAAAATTGTCAGCAGATAAAATAAAAAATAATTGCAAATATACTATATACCTATAGTATATATACATCTATATAAAGAGAACGGTTTTTGTATATTCTGACGCGTGCATATTTTTCTTATATAAACAAAAATTTAAATAAATGCATATTTTTGGGTTTTTTTAATAATTTTTTACTTTTATTATTTTTTTTAAATATTTACAACAAAAGATATTTTTGTTAAGAATTCTTATAAAGAAAACTGAAATACAATTCAAATTACGCCATTATCAGCAAAAATGCACTTTGGTTGGTCGGTAGTAATATTTATTTATACGAATTTTGACAATATACATACATATATGTAGATATATATATATATGTATATAGATGATAAATATATTAAAGTAATATAAAAGATTTAAATATAAAATTTGAAGTCATTGGCTGCAGTTAAAAAATTATAAATGTCTCAAATTGAATTTTTTTAAATTTCGCCGTCAATGTTATATTAAGTTTCATATGCAACAAAAAAAAAGTTGCTTTAAGAACAACTTCAATAAAAATCACAAAAAAATTTATAATATATTATTTAAAATGATTATTTTTTGTCTAGAAAGCAGCTCAATGTCTTCGATTGAAATATAATCACGCTGAAGTTGTTTTATTTGAGTGCATTGCTTGTAGTTTGACACTCTAACAGAACTATTGACTTTCCTCGACCTCTAATATAAGTGTGTTTTTCAAACATAAAAGTGTTGGTTTAGAATGTTATATTTATAATAGATAAGTCCAAAACTGTAAAACTAGATTTTCTCTTCGAATTATATTACAGCAATCTGTTTTCTTCTTGCAAATATAAAGTACTTAGTAACTTACATATATTATAATAATCGCCTAAATCAACTATACAACTATGGTTGTTTGGAAAGTAATTCAATCAAACTGAAATATGGATTTAAATAGTATAATTAAATATTTTCCATTCTGGTGGAATACTTTATGTCATTATTCTTGTAGTAATATAGTTCCACACTCATGAAACTATAATTTTAAATCATTTTTGATGTCTTCATTTTAAGTAAAGTTTTCTTACACAATAAAATTTAGCAGAGACAAGTTCTAAATGCTGAATCTGGTTATCACACTATAACAGTACATTCGATTCTAAACTGAAAAATCTTAAAGTGAGCTTCCAAACTTGCTTGATATATCCCAATATCTTTGTATAATACTATACCTCTCATATTGAACAATTTTGGTCTACTTGCTTTGTTAAAATAAATCGTAATATAATTTTCAAACAAATAGACAGCTAATCAATATGATGCTAATAGATTTCAGAAGCTTCCGGGTCTACACCCAGTAGCAATTGGCATTGTTAGACGATAATATGCAATGGTATTATGAATAGGGAATTATGGTGTTTATGGTGTTTATTGTGATTACATATGCCGAATTTAAGAAATTTGATCTCTCAGCGATGTTACAAGGCTGAATTAATTGTTGTAGACTTAGCGAACTTAGATAATGTAAATGGTAAAACGCAAAAAAGTGATTAGTTATGACAGAGTACACACAAAGCAAAACATCATATAAGCACAAACAACATTAAATAAATAATAATACCTGTAATAATTCTTCTGAAATTCTTCTGCTGAAGGCAAAAGCGAATATGCCGAAATACGTATTGGAATATACAAAAACAACGATTGAAATAAAAGTTAAAACTCTGAAAAAACTTTAAAACAACACTAGTTTAATCCGATCACCAAGTACTTCACACACAAAGAAATGTAATGCAATTACTAAATATTTGCATCAGCTAATATAAGATATATTATATATTTCACACACAAAGAAATGTAATGCAATTACTAATATTTGGATCTGCTAATATAAGATATTTTATATATTTACGTCAATACACCAATTCAATTCGTTGTTATATTTCCCCTAATTTTTACTTTATCACGACTAATTGAATTCATTGGTATCTATAAAATAGAACGGGTCAGCTGATTTCTTACAGTACAACTAATTCAGTATTTACTCCTACATGAATTTTACCATGAATATTTAAATAAATTTTTTTTATTAAGTTAATATCGGTTAGTGGAATGTCTACGGTACAACTAATTCAGCCTTAAGTTTTTAATTATTTGCGAAAAAATTACATTTTCATCTATTGTTAAAAAGAACAGCATAGAAATATTGTTCTTTCTATGATAAACATTTTTATCTTACAATATCTTAAACATTTTTCGAAAAACAAAAACCGAATTTTTAGAAATATTTCGTTTGAATTAAAATTATTAAAATAAAATTGATGGTCAAAAATCGCATATCTATCTATATATCTGAAATAAATGATATGCTTTTAAAAAAAAACCTTGTAAAAATTTATTACAAACAAACATATACACAAATTTACATAAAACCCCAAAGAAAAAACTTTCTGCTTATAAATATAAACGACGGATATTGCTTGCATATGCATATATATCTATATTTACTTACATACTCGTATCTATATATCGTTTATAAGGTCTTAAGTTTCGGCTAAGTCGAAGGTTACAGTGATTTTTTGTGTTTTGTATCGTTTAATTTTTAAATAATTCATTAAACATTCAAGTGACAAAGTATCTATGCACACTGCTACATATAATAGACGTACTGCTCGCAGATACACGTACTCGTACATATGTAGTACGGCGATTAGTTTTTTTTCCTTTGTTTTGTTGCAGATTTAGACATTTTTATTGTTATTATTCGTTGCACACATCCTCACATACATGAAATTTTAATTTATTTCCATACAACAATAAATAAATATGCCTTGCATTATTTTAATAATAATGACTTTCTTACCTACACAATCGACAAACATATCGACAAATGCTCGTAAGTATTTGCACATTTTATTTTTGATTTGTGTTGGTGTGAGTTTAGTTGTATTGACTTTAGTTAAGTTGAGTTGAGTTGAGTTGTCGTTAAGTTGTCGTTAAATGCCAAAGACAAGCTTTTGTTTTGGCCAAGTTCACAGTAACAAAAACCACAACAAAAATGTGTTTATATTGCTAAGTACTACCGTTTATAGAATTGAATTGTTATTGTCTTGGTTTATCACAACAAACAAAGAAAATTCTCTGAATGAATTAAATTCTTTATCTTATGTTAACTGTTAGTTTCACGTGCTTTAAAAAAAGTAGTCCATCATAGATGCTGACTACAATATCGTTTGGTAGATAGATTTTTGCTTAAAAGCTTCTTTTATGTTTCAGTTATGTATTTGTATTGAATGCAGTATATATAATTAATTTTTTTAATTACTTTATTAGTTTAAAAATTTTTAATAAATATTATTTAATTAATTTTTATAATTCTTTCTATTGCAGAGAACTACAAGATGGCATACTTAAAGATAACAACTTAATGGATGGTTCAAAAATTATATTAATACCAAATGTAGAGACTGGATTATTGGTAAGAATTTATCAATAAACTTAATACTTTTTTATATATCAATATGTTGCTAATTAAATTTAAATTTAATTAATTTTTAATTTACTATATAACAAATCATTTTAACGTGACGTAGTTTTAATTTACTGTTGTTCTGGAATGAGTTGTTGTTACTGTTAGAGTAGATTACTCCCTTTTGGGAGTATTCAACAGCACTTATTCGTCTAATTCGACAAGTGGATTCGGGAAGTAGGCCCGGACGTTCTTGGAACTAAATTAAGTTATAACAGTTACATATGTATTTATTGAAAGTAAAAGGTTTCAAATATTTTAATCTATGTTTTTTCCCGAAATTGTAAACGGCAAAATGTAGAAAAAATGCTTAGTTGTAGACAGAGTATTGTTTTTGTTTACTTTTGGTAGAAAGTATCGACTGTAATTCACTAAAAACTCCTCTTAAGAATAAAAGTGTCAGAAGTCCACAGAAATTCTGGTTTAGCCCTCCATCACTATATCGGAGAGCAATGAGTGAAACTAAAGAGGCTTAGTACAGAAGTCTAGGTTTATCTAAGCCGAAAGCCTTGGACATAGTATAAGAGGAAGGAAGGTAGATGAGGTTACATAGGGTTCATGTGGAATTCTTTTTTTAAGAATAAATCATACTTTTGATTCTAAATTTTTTGGTGGACTGGATTGGTTCATATACTACATACTACTCTGAATTACTCTGAATTCTATATTTTTTGTTTGACTGCTTTGGGGGTGCGTACACATATCATGATTATCTCTTGAAGGTCTTATTTTATTATTTCAAATTAAATAAATTATTTGAAAGCAATTATACTAATAAAATATTTTTTTTTCTTCTAAAATTTATCTAATTTTTATCTTAAAATTAGCCATCATTTCAACTACAAATGGTGTCTTTATCATTTTATTTATTGTGTACATCATTAAAAACTTGAATATCGAATAATCACTGTCAACTGAAATGTATGCGCATGTTCGAATTTTTATTTCAACTTAAAACAAATCGTCTTTCAAACGCTCCAAACCAGTTCCAAAATACTAAATTTTAATTAAGAAAAAATTGTGGTTCAATAAAAATTTATATAGTATTATTTAAAAATTAAAAATATTTCCAATTAAAAAAAATTTATTTAAATTAAAATGAGCACGCATTTTATTTTGAAAAAAAAAAAAATAAATAAATGTCACTAGTTCACCACAGTTAAATACACCACACTAATCATGGTTAATAGCCAAAAAAAAAAAAAAAATTATCAATGCAGTTAAATTGTCAAACTATGACAATATTTATTTAATTTTATGTTTTATTAATAATAATTTAAAAATTAAACAAAGACAGTTTTTTGACATACAACATATGTAAATGGGTACTCATCTATGTGTTTAAATGTTTGCTTATATATAATTAGCTACATCACAATAACCGCAAACAACACAACTTGTCTTGAATGATGACGACGGTTTCGACAATTCAACTTACAAAGTTGCTGACATAATATTGCTGCTGCTGCCGTTGCCGTTGCCGCTGTTACTGTTGCTGTTGTTGCTTAGCTTGTTCGTTTGTTTATTTACTGTCTGTCTGTCAGCTGGAGTGAGTTACATATGTGAAATTGTTAATGCCAATTCATTTTATCATGTGCAAAACAACAAACAAGCGTACAGTCAAGTCAAGCTTAATAAAGTCTTTAAAAAATCGCAATCCGTTGCGCATGCGCAACATCTCTGTCTTAACACAACTAAACACATATGCGTGTGTATTTGTGTGTATGTGTATGTAGGTTGAAGAGTGAAGTTTTTAAGGTTAAAACACAGTTTTTAATTTATTAGTAATTTAACATATTAATATTTAATAAATTCAATTTAATTATATTACAATTAAAATGATCATTTTTATTAGCTACTATATTTAGATACAATTACAAATAATTTTAAATAAATTATTATCAGTGATTTTTTAAAAAAAATATGAATGTATTTTTTCCAATATTATAAGTGTTTTTATTTTTAAGAATTTTATATTCTTAACACTCGTCGCAAGTTCATTTTATAAATGTATATGACTGACGCTGATCGAATTGTTTATTTAAATATTTACTCTGAAAAAAATTGATTACATTACACATTCCCAGCAATTCAAAGTAATTATTATTCTACTTAAAAAAATTAGTCATTCCCAAGCAAATAAAAAAAAACCAAACAAGAATTCTTTATAAAAAAAAATGCTTGTATTTTTGATAATTTATCATGGACGAGTATATCTAGTAAAACCGACCGGTATATTAATCATTTTTGATTTTATTTTTAATTAATTTCTTAATTATATATACGAATACAAATAAATAAATTTATTTATTTTATTTTTAATGAATTTTTTAAACCAAATTGTTTAAGTAAAATTTGATTTATTTATTTTTTAAATGATAATGGATTGCTTTTAAAACAGCGAGACAAATCTTGTATATTATATACTAAAATAATTAAGACGTACATTTAAAATATCATACTGCACATAAATTGACCTACTAAATTAAATAAATCTACGCGCCACTCACGCAAGCAGTCAATACTCAACTAAATATTATATATAAAGGTGATTAAGTCATACATTTGAAATGTCATACTGCATATAATAAAAAAAATTAAGTTTGTCTTCAGCTGATGGCCTCAGTAGCCGGAGCTATATCTATACATGTTAGTATTAGTTTTATAAACTAAACTATCATTATTAATAAATAAAAAAAAAAATTCATCTTAACTCTACTTCACTCACACAAGCAGTCAGTGCTCAACTCAATTTAAATAACGCGTGCACTAAAATGTGTATATTTTTGTGATATAAATGACGAAGTTCAAGATAATTAATTATAATAATAAGCGATCAATTATGGATCACATAATACTGTTATGTTTTTGGATTGTTTAAAATATTTCAGTGTATTTAGTGTAGTATTCCCACATAAGTTAATTTTATTAAACAGTTTTATTATAAGCACAACTCAAAGTTCCAGTTAACAGCACCAAAATCTTTGAAAAAATCTAATAAAACAGCAAATACTTGATTTAAGCAGTATCGCCAAAAAAGTTGAAAAAAACACAGGAAAGCTTTATTAGGTGTATATATTTTTTATAGAAAATTTCGATACATTCTCTATAATCTTTCTAATAAAGGGATAAAAATAAAATATTTTATGAAGCCAATAATATAAACTTAAACTTTTTCCTTTTAATAATATTGATTTCTATTGTGTTTGATAGAAATGCCTCTAAAAACTCTCTCTGCGATCTCTCTCATTCATACTCTTATACTCTTTTTATTTCCAACAATAAAATGCTGAAAATGTTATAGTTTATGATGTACCATAAATACATATTGTGTGAGTTTTATAATAAAGTTAGTAATATCCATACACGTCTAATTTAAAATTCCCCACCTTTAACTAGTATATTGTCTCCCTTATGATATGTATGCCCCGCGCTAAGAAATAAAGTTTGTTCCATATTTTAAATATATTATGATGTATAGGTTAGCATAACAGATTTGACTCTAATGAGATAACAATTGCTTTTATTAGTTATCTTCTCTTCCTCATTAATCTTTTAACTTAAGCAACATCTACTAGAATAATCGTGTCGGTCCGTTTTTGCTGGTGAGAGTTGGAAATATATTTTTTATATAATCATTTTTATTTATATTTTTTTTATATCAAATATGTTGAAGAGTTGATGTTGACATGGAGTTATGATAGTCCAAAATACTATTTTATGTTTATATAAGCTTATACAGATGCAGATTCAAGAACGTGGGAGTAGGTATTATTCTTTAACTTCACAACATCACCAGTCTAAAAATAAACAGTTTTTAAAAGGTTAAGTGTAAAGTGTAATATCAAAAATAATTTCAAACTAATTTGAAGATTGACTGCTTCATCATTTTCATTATAAAATACAAAATTTAGATATGAATACGTGTTTTTTTTAATTTTAAATTTTCAGTTACTTACTTTTGCTCACAATAATAAAAGTACTTATATATTTTTGTATGATGATACCTTTTTATATATATGTCACCTTTTTGTTGATTCGACTTAGGTTGACATCATTACAACTTAGTAATGGCAGAAAACGTAAGAAAAATGTACTTTTTCCATAAATCATATAATGTTGATGGATTATGTGAGTCAAATAATGTTACTCATACGCCGTGTGTAATTACAATCATCTCTTCTAGAATGACTTCAATACGAGTATCTTGGTACATGTTTTATAAATTAAAGAATGTCTTGTTTTATTTCATATTTAAATTTCAATTCTTTCTTTACATTCATCTCTGAAATGGTGTACCAATTTCAAGTACATATTTACCATTTCATCATCATCATCACCATCACATTGTGTACCTACAATGTGGAACACTTTTTACCTATTTATTTACTGAGAAAAAAAGTTATAAAAAGGCATCGAAATAAGTAGAACATCAGAAGCAACTGTTGTGCCATAAAAGCTGCCTTACTTTTATTTGCTGTATCTTTTTTGTTCGTCTTTTATTTTAACTGTCAGTTTGTTGTTGAAACACGTTCTGAATATATGTTCATACAATACCTCTGTTATACCAGATACTACATATATTTAAACTCATTGGTTTGCAAATATTTTATAAATCATAATTAATGGATTGAAGTCCCCTATTTTACTTAAGCAATGCACAGTCAGTCAGTCAGTCATTCAGTATTTAACTTTTTGACATTCCGTAGAATAATTGCTTTTCCCATAAAAATGATTTCGAAACTAGTCAATTTTATTACCAATTTTTTTTTTATTGTTATTTTTTATTATATTTTTTTTTTTTTTGTAAGTAGTCAGTAGTCAGTTTTGGTTAGTTAATAACGGATTGGTCATGTACATAATAACTTTGCTTACTTTTTATTAACTGAAAAGTTTGTTTGTGCATTCTTGACTGTCTTTACTGTCTTCTTGCGAGATGGATTTGTTTT